GCAGCGGCTCCTGTTGTGACTGGCATCAGCACCTTGCTGTGTCAGACTGTTAGTCCTGTTTGGTGGTGACTGCCTAACCCTTTGGAGATGCCTCCTCACTTTGCTAGTGTCTCAGCACATGGGACCTCTGCCGGCACACCTCACCCTCAGCAGGTGCTTTCAGCCATGACTCCCCAGGCTGGCTAAGTGCTCAGCTTTGCGATACCAGCCTCCCCATGTCACCCTCACTGCTGATGCTTTGTCTCTTCCTAGCGCCCCAGGAAGAGAAAGCAGCAGGTCTCAAGCAAGTTGCTTTTCCTGTAAAATCGAGAAGGCTGGCTTTTACAGGAAAAGTACCTGTACTTATTTGTTAACAGTTGACAATGCCATAACCAAACTGCTCGTGTGGCTGCCGTGTTGTGGTGCATCCTTCCACCTTGTGTTGCCAGGCACCTCTGGTCTCTCCTAAGAAGAAAGGAGCTGCTATCCCAGTGACACTTCTCTACATTGAGCAACAAAATGGGCTTTGAATGTGGAATTGGAGCTAATGTGAGCTGCTTGGTACTTTACTTGCTAATATGCCTGGTAAATTGTCAAAATGTAGTCAATGCTACCATGTTTAAATTAAGGCCTGTGGGTAAATTGGAATTTTTTAAGACCTCTCTACAAAGTCTTCCTTGCAAAACTGATTCTTTTTCTTCATAAACGATTTTTTTCAAATCTTTTGTATGATCTCACCAGCATTTTGCATACAGGTTACAAATATACTATCTCTTGAGAATGAAGCATTGTGGAAGAAACATGCAATCTGTTTTTCAGACTCAGGTAAAGCAGAGGTGCTTTATTTCTACAGCTGTAGGACAGAACACAGAGGTTCAGCTTCTGTTGATTTAAGAAACAAAAATATTAGGGCTTATATACATTTACAGCAGAAAACAACTGCCTTGTAAAGGAGCTAGATGTGGCAGAGCAGCATCTCTATAGAAGGAAACTGTTTCAGCAGATGTCAGTAACCCAATCTGCTGCTTAATACTGCCATGACAAAAGAGTAAAAAAAGGTCAAAATTAGAAAAAAATATCAGAAAATGAACCTGGCTAGGAGAAAACAGAAGAATGAACTTGCTCGTCAGACCACTCATTCTGCAGTGTTTCCCCATGCCTCTCCCACACAGCAGGCTACAAAAGGGCAATTAGTTGTTTATCTCTGTTAGGATGTAACTCGATGAAATGGGGTTTTTAACTGAATATGCTCTTCATTTTGTCTGAGGCAACTTATTCTTTTAGTACTATGCCCAATACAATTGTGTAGCTTTTTGGCTGTGACCTGCAAACACTGAAACTCATCTTCATTCATCTGAGGGCAGTTCTACACTTACATAAATAGTGAGTGCCTGTACACTCAAGCACACCTTTACACTCTATGCGTAAATAGAACTGAAGCAGAAAATACATTTATGTGAGTTATCCACATGTGTGTCTAAGGTAGGGCCCTTCTGTAAAATTTTATTACTTTTGTAATCAGGGTTTAAAAAAAACAAAAACAAAACCAACAAAACAACACGCCACCTAGTGTTGTCAAGCTTTCAGGCAAGCTATAAAAGAGAAGAAATATGAAACTAAGGGTGCTGGAAAAAATTGCTAGCAGACCCTATTTGCAGCTTAACCCCATAGCAGGTACAAAACCAGACCGTACATTGGCTTAAACTGTGGGGGCAGAGAGCACAAGAAATTTAACAAGCCATACGGCACGTTACCGGCTCCATGGACCAAGAGGGCTGGAGATCACTGTCCGGAGAAGGCAGTTAAGTAGAGACTTCTGGTATTTGGTGTGTAAGTCTCTCTTTCCAAGCCCACCTTGAGTTTCAAAACAGAAGTTTCATCTCCCATCAGTTTTCCACCCTTAAAATCCCAACAGCTGCTGGAGGAACAGTGAGCAGCATTAAGTGGCTGGCATCTCTTATTCTAGGATAATGAGAGCTGGCAGGTCAGATGTTGAGATAGTCAATGCACCTTCACATCGGGCCACAAGTGCCCGATAAACCACAGGTCTCAACTACTGGACTACTGATAAGTCCTAAACAATAAATACAGGGCTCGCCTCAACCACTGATAAGGCAATCATTTTGCAAGCACAAAAACCCAACAGTGTGCCAGTTGCCAAGTCATTCTGCATCTGCAAAACCCCAAAGGTGTGCAGTCATGCTACATCTGCAAACACCCAAAGCTGTGCAGTCACACTACTTCTGCAAAAATGGGCCCTCTGGACAACTACACATGCTCCACCAACAGAAGCGACACTGGGAGGGGGTGAAGATCGCTCCCGATGACCCTCATATAAACCAAATACGCATGCGCTAAACAGGAGGAGGGTAGGTAAAGTAGTTCTTGGGACACTATATAATGCCATCATGAACAGCCACTCTTTGTCCATCTGCCCCACCGAATTGAAACAGGCAGACCTGCCAGACGTCGCTGGATCTGTGGTGTCAGTTATACTTCTTGCTATCTTAAACCTTTTACTGCTTCGCTTTCTCAGTTCCTTATCTTTCTTTCCTGTCACGCTCCAGTGGTTGTTAGTCAATAACAGGTTGTGCTGTTGTGACATCTGACCTTGTTTGTGTCTTAATTTCCCCTCTGGGATCAAAACGAATCACCTTGACTCCAAGCGGATCAAGACACAGCCTCTGTTCCCCCTGCTAATACAATAAGGCGAGTTGGTGTGCGCACCCATTTTCCTTGCAAGTATATTTAAAATATTGGCTCATAATTTTGAACACAGGTCCAGCCCAAATTAACATAATTCTGATAGAGTTTATAGAGAGAGGAATGTTCGTAAAGCCTGATGACAGAAAATATTTTCCAATGCTTTGTCAAGAAATCAGTATCAAGTCTGTAAAAACAAACAAAAAAATACTTGTACTTTATTGTTTTAAAGGAAGAGGCTAAATAGAAACAAGCTAGTGGGCAACAGCAGCAGCTGGGGTCAATGTTCACTAAGTTACTAGGGTATCTCTAACATCTCTTTTATTTTTAATTCTTGGATGGTCAATGTGAACCTAGAAGTTCTTAAGAGACGAGGTACCTTCAGGCACACAAGATACAACTGATACTTCTATAGCATTTTCCAAAACACTCAGTGAAATGACATTTCCAAAACTGCTGTTAAGTTAGGAGACAGACTATACTGTATTTTTCACTCTTATTTAGGCTAGTAACTCTGTTGAGGAGGACTTGCCTGAAATCTTGATGGATATCTCTGACAGAGGAAGAAATGTCAATGTTGGGATAAATCACACTCTGAAGACTTCTGCTCCTCTCCCCTGCCCCGAAGAGAAGGTTGAAGGGACTGGCTTCATTGAAACTCCTAGGTGCTTTAGCTGAGACAGAATCCTTTCAAGTAGTTTGGATACTAGCCGTAGCTCAAGTGCACGGTGAGGGATTCCTCCTGAATTTAGATCTGCATTTACACCTATTTAAAGGAGACTAGACAGCTGGACTAGATGTAGGTCTCTACAAAGTTAGGCAAGATGAGTTTTCCTAAGTTGCCTATGCTGTGATTAACCTTTATGCTTGAACTCATGTTTTCTTACCTTGCAGTCCCCTGACACAGTGGAAGTCC